CTGTCCGGCTGAAGAGAGGAGGGGTAGAGCAGCTTGGTGGGCCCCTGGCAGCCAGCCAAGGTCAACCTACTACAACAGTGAGTCCTGTACCCATTGCAGTTTGTGCATCAAAACCACTTGCTGTATGACATGAACTAGGGGGAACATCTCCTGCTGGGATCTTAAAGCCACTGCCACTTGCAAACACGAAGATGGACACTAAAAGAGGCATGAGTCTCGCCATTTTTCTCTTGACTTCCGTCTTGGTGCTGACTTTTCCTCCTCTTCTGTTTTGCAGTAGCTGATGGCTGATGTCAGAATGAAGCTGCTTATAAAGTGTATGGCTGCTCTGAATAAGATTAAGTCCTGATGTTTTGCATCAGCAGGCTCTAGAAACTTCCCTTATCCTGTCACCTGTTCCACATTTGGAGGAGTGTATAGAGCAAAACAAAGGCCCGGTGTGAACTTCAGAGAGGAATGGACCAGGAGCTCCCTTCCTTGTGTTTATGACAGGCTTTCTTCCCGTTTTAAGAAGAGTATGGCTGACACTCTCTAATCCGTTCTTACGGTCTGAACAAGGGACCAGAGGAGATAAAAACCCTTTCTGATCTGTCCCCAAGAACCTCTCAGATAGATCAGGTAATTCCATTGAAAAAGTTAAATTCTGTCAGTAAATTGCATTTGTATTATGTAAATAATAGCAGCTGCTCCCTGCCCAGTAATGTGCAATCATGATTTTTCATGCATTTTCTCATCCAAGATAATAGAAACTGTTGCACACACATCTGCAAACCAGGCATACAATTTAAATTAGTTTACCATTCATATTACCCTGAAGTCTTGATGACTGAGTGGGAGGGAGTGTTACTTTTTTTTTTATTGAAAAGTCTCCTACCTGTTTGTTTTGCAAGTCAGGTTGCTGTGCCTGTACAACTGTCACAGATCTTGAAAGACTTGCATGTTTACTCTTCAGCAGGTTTAAGCAATGACAGCAGTGAGAAGCCTGTGATGCTGGCTGCCCCCAAGATGCAGTGAAAAGGAGCAGGACATTGACTTAAGAGCAAAAAATACAAGCAGTCATCCGGCCAGCCTGGCAAAGCAGCATCAGTGTGAGGTCCCTTGTGGAAAATAAGAATTACAGAGGAAATAATTGCCTGAGCCAACACAGCAGGGAAACAGGAAAACTTAAGGAATATGGGGAGAGGTATCAGCCATGATAGGATTAGCAAAGGAATCTCTTGTGTATGAGGTAGGGAAACATAAGGCAAGCTTTCAGTTTGCGCCTGGAAGGGCCTGGTGTGACCTGTTGGACACATCAGTCCTATGTATGTGACAGAAAGAACATGCAGAAATCTGTTCAGTCAGGTGCCTGGGCTATTTTATGACTTCAGAAGGCATCAGTCCCTATTTTTGCAAGATACTGTGATTTCAGCTCTACACAGATCTCCCTGTCCCACTCACTTCAGTCTGGAGGAAGTGTCTCCTTCAGCAAGTCCCAAACCAGGGTTAGCGATCTATGCACTCTTACAGCATAACCTTTGCAAAGACATTTGTGCTGACTTTTATTTAAATACATGTATTTGCCTAAAAGAATCCACCTCAAATACTACAGCTGCAGTAAATGTCAGGATCCCTTCCTTCTACAGCAACCCCAGACATAACCAAAGAGAGATGAGAAAGTCAGTAGGTGCTCCCTACTGTAGGTACCCACGTGGCACCATGCTGCATTCAGTCAGAAGAGGTGTCCTTGCCAAGAGTGTTCCCAAGCACAGTGGCTGCCAAGGGCTCCTGGCCATGGCACACTCTGTGACCCGAGCCCAGCGCATCACCAGCCCCATCCCATTGCCAACGCCCTGCGATGGCATCAGGAAACCCACCTTCATCTTCTTGGCCCCCTTCACGTAGTCTTTGCTGTCATGAATGCAGTGGGCAGTAGTGAGGATGTGCTGCCTGGACACCAGCATGCCCATGCAGCCTGTAGAGGTGTTGACCGTGGCAGAGAAGGGGG